TCTACAAACATATTAACGCCAAACATTTGGTAGAATTTATAGAATATTGTAAAAATATATATATATATATATATTCATATATATATATATATATATTCATATATATATATATATATATATGTATATATATATATACACGATTGAGCTTTTCAATATTTATAACCGTAATTTTAATATTATTATCTAATTTATGAAAAGTAATGACAAAATTGTTGGTGTTCTTGGTGAAGCGTATAGGCCATATTTAGATTTTACTCATCATCAGCGTTTATATTGTTTTAGCCGGATTGTTAAATGATTATTACTACCCATTATCAACCTTTTGGACCACTAATGGGGAAAAAAGTTGTTCACTGACAGACAAGAAATAAACTGCGTAACAAGGCACACCAATTTTAAAGAGGAGGGTTTAGTCTGGTGTGTCGTTGAGAAATTTTAAAAAATGATGTTTGTTTGAAATTAACAGTAGCAATGTCTAAATTCAGTGCTTTAAGATTTAAAAAATTTTAAGCGCTATACTAAATGAAGTGTTGTTCGTGTTGAGTGCCGTAAGAAGTTTATAAATAAAAACAATTACAACTGGAAAAAGTATATTAACGATAAAAAAACAAAGAACAGACAGTGTTGCTATTGAATGTTTTTTCTCTATGATGAGGCCCATCCTTGTTGTTGGCGTGCTTCTGCTGATGTCAAAGTCACCAGCATCAGTGATGCTGTGTGTTTAACTCTGAAGAACTTTCCACAGGCAGTGCCTAATCCAATATCGTTGCCATTGTAAGGCTGGACACGTTTTGGCCAGCCTATGCTAGCTCGTAGTACAGGATCTCACTTTTTATAAGAGATGGAGTTTTGTTGGCAATTTTGCCTTTTCCCGCTTCAAAGTTTTCAATGTCTTCTGGTAGCTTAAAAGTATTTACCACTTTTTACGACGAGAACCAGGGGTCTTTGGACCAACTTTTTTTGCGTTTTAGGTGAAAATAGATTCAACGGATCATTGACACAAGCAAAAAAGAAGTGCATGTTTATGTTGAATGTCGTAAGAAATTCACATGATTTGCTTTAAGCAAAGTATGCGAATTATGCTTTTTTTGGGTACATGAATGAGTTCCAAAACTTTAATATGCAATTTCTTAATTGATATGAAACGTCTGCATACTATTCATTTTATATGCTTATAGGACTTGTCATTTTTGGAAATCCAAGATATTCCAGAAAGCAATTCCAGTCGATGTTGAAAACAGAATGATCTTCTGACAAAATATTGATTCAATCTAAAAATATTCTAATTTATCTCGACTGATTTTAATCATTGCAATTATCTTGTTTTATTATTTTCTGATGTTTTTTTTTAAATCTTCCATGCTACTACTTTCAAGATAGAGTCATATGTATGGACAACATTTATCAAACGAATCTATTTTTATCCTTAAACTTTCTATTCTATAATTTGTCCTATAATTTTTTTCTTTTCTAAAGCAACAATGATTCTCTTATAGCAGCTATAGCAGCTTTTCTTCGTGTGTATAGATGAAATTAAAATTAAAACTCGAAATTAAATTTTTTTACGACATTCAGCAGTTACTATTTTTTCTGTCTCCACTTTTGTGAATTTGGATTTCTTTTATCCAATCATTTGGAATTCCTTGATTGTATATTAATTAGCCCTTCTCCGAGAAGTTCCGCTTTTATGACAAAAACCTGGCGCTTTGCTGATTGAAGATTCTGTTTAATTATTTAATTATTCACTGAAGCGCTGGTCGGATTCTGAAAAAACGTTATTATTATAACGTTCCCCGGTTCCCCGCACAGGTAATACGTTATATTTTAAAAAATTATATTGTTAGCTATGTTGTATTAAATCGCTTTCTATGCGAAAGGAACTAGCGGTAACATCGCAATCGATACAAAATTATAAAGTTAATGAAATGAAACATTGAAGTCATAACCTTCAATCAAATCACACAGTTATTCCCTTCATCAAATCACACAGATTAATATGAATTCATTTAACCTCTTCTACCTAACGAGTCTAAATAACTCACCCATCAACTAACTTATCTGGGCAAAACTATGTATAATTGACGTGTTACGCGTTGCATGACATACAACGATTGAATATTATAAAGTATGCATTGCGTCTATAACAATATCTTTTACTTCGTATTAGTTTATTTCACATTTTTTAAATCGCATTTAAATCGCATCAAAACTAAATTATTCAAAACTTTTCCCGTTGGAATAACGATAAAAAAACCTTGTATCGTTATCAAAACTAGACTGATAAAGAAAATGACAAATAGAGACACTAGTGCTTAATTTTATACTGCCGTTCACACCTCATATATGGACACAACAGTGTCCAACAATCATTCTTTCCAACTTCTAATAAACGGTGTATTTTAATATAGAGCCAAACATTTTACTAATTTAAGACAATGAAGCTTATGCAAGAATTCTGCAGAAATGTCAAACCTTCCATTTTTCCATCACATACATCAATAGTTTGCAGCAATAACTGAAGTTCTTTAACAAATCCAACAACATCAGCAGCTGATCTGAAATCAGGTTGTGTAACTATCTCTAGTAACCCAATACCTATAATTTTATTATAAAAAAAACTAATTAATTAAAAACCAAACAGATAACCAGTAATGTTTTTTACCAGCACGATTCAAATCAATTAAGCTTTTAGATTTATCATGTAAACTTTTACCACTGTCTTGCTCAAGTTGAATTTGAATTAACCTGGCTTCTTTTTCTGTAACTTTTTTAAAATTAGAATCAACAGCCAAATATTTGAGACTACCACCAATAGCAACCGGTTTTTTATGTTGTGTGATCTGATATCCAGACTTGAGTTAGAATAAATAAAAACTATTATTCACTTTAAATAGAGAAAATAATATTAAACATTTAAAAATTTTTATTACAGAAAATAAAATAAGTTGAAAACTGAATATAAAAAACAATAAAAAACTTGAGGACAATAAAATTGCGTCAAATATTTAGTCTAACATATATTTTAATTTTCCAAGCTGGTTTATTACCCCTTTTCTCACTCTGTTTAGAACTGTTTGTAAAATATTATGTAGCCCGCCATTTGGAATACTTCCAAATGCTTTTGATATATGTATTATACATTATACAGCCAATGGCGGATTCGAAGAAACTACTAGACCATGAATGAAAATATTGAAGATTCCGTGAATGACATAGTAATAAAGTAAACAAAAATTAACAAAAAATATCATCAACTAAGAATTTTCAGAATCATTCCTCACCAACCCCACCAACACGAGAATAATAAGCGGTAATAGTAACTAAAATTAAAAAAAAACTGGAAAATTCTGAACCTGTTACTCCACACAACTAAATTAGACAAAGGTATGTAAATATTAGGGATGCACCGAATAGTGAATCAGGTCAACGACAGAATGGCCTACAACAAACAACAACACACGTTAAGACAACATTTTCCCCGAGATCGGGGGTTGCCGTTTGGCTACCTATGATGAAACCGAAATACCCCTCGACGCCATTCACATCTGACACTCGCCTCAGTATCACGCAACTCCGCTTTCACTCTGTCCTTCTCCACCTGCTCTCTCCATCTCAATCGCGGACGACCCCTTCCCATCACTCCTTCAACCTCGAACTCCAACGCTCGCCTAATCCCGACCCTTTCATCCCTTTTCAACACATGTCCATACCACCGCAATCTCGATCTCCTTATCAATGTCACAATGTCCTCATTCAGTCCCATCATCGACATCAGCTCTGAACTACTCCTTCTATCCTTCACTTTAACCCCACACATCATCCTCACCATAGATCTTTCAGCCCTTTGCAGTACACTTTCCTCCTTTCTCCTCAACACTCCTCCTTTTCATCTTCACCGACCATTTCTTTTCAGACAATACCCCACCCAGTTCCCTGAATTTCATCCATCCCACAAAAACTCTAGCCGTAACAGCGCTCAAACATCCGACATCCCCCTTCCAACCCTCACCTTTGTCTTCGCCCCTTCATACAGCTACATCACAGCTTTAACAAGTCTCTCATTCACTCTTTTCTTCCTCAATGCCCATTCAATGACCTTCCTCGGTACTCGATCAAAAGCCTTTTCTAGATCCACAAAACACATGTACAATCTTCGTTTCTTCTTTCTATAATTCTCCTGCAACATTCTCACTAGGAACAACGCATCCACCGTTCCCCTACCAGGCATAAACCCACACAGCATTTCATTAACTGTCACCATGTTTCTCAACCTTCACTCAAGCATCCTCTCCACTACCTTCATTCCATGCTCTAGCAATTTCATACCCCTATATGACCCACAATCTCTCACATCTCCTTTGCCCTTATACAACGGCACCAACACACTGTGTCACCAATTCTCAGGTATACCTTCATCATCAAACAAACTGTTAGCAATTCTCATCATAACTTCAATTCCTATCACCCCACTCGCCTTTATATTGTTTCGCCGCCACATCCGAAATCCCTGTCGCCTTACCTAGTTTCATTTCTCTAACTGTTTTCTCTACTTCCTCCATCGTCACCTTCTCTATGGGTTCGTGTGTGACCGCGGATTCCACATCTCCATCCCACTCATTCTCTTCATTCATCAACCTTTTCATATGAGCTTTCCACACCTGAGCTTTTTCTCCTCATCTATGCACAACTTGCCAGATCCATCCCAAACATGTCCATTCCCTATGACATCTTTCCCATCCCCTCATTGACTGCTCTACTACTTTGAACATTTTCCTCGAACTCACATCAAATTCCATTTCCATCATTAACCTATCTGATGCTTTCGTTATTGCAGTTGCCACTGCCCGTTTTGCAACCTTCTTAGCCTTAGCCTTCCTATACTCAAACTCCGCTTCCCCCGTCATGTCCCTTCTCCACACCCTAAACCTATCCTTCTTGACCTCCAAAACCTTTCTTATATCTTCATCACACCACCACGTCTCACCATGCCTACACTTTCCTTTCGTCCATCCACATACTTTATCTGCCGTAGCCAACGACAGAATGGCCGAATAATTAATAAACTATTCGGCAGAAGCCGAAGACCGAATACCAAAAAAAAACCGCAAATTATTGGAAAAACAGTAGGTGAATCGTGTTTTTTAGATTATATTCAATATCTTGTACAAATTTAAAAGGTTTAACACCTATGATGTCACACCCCCAGCAAGAAACAGTTTTAGAAAATGGTATGATACACTGAAAAGATCAAGACGGAACAGCGTTAAAATCAACTGCAGCAGCCAACAGCTTTTATCTGTGCTGGATATGGTAGAGATCGTCATTCCAGAATCGATCTGTTTAGCTATTCTCGGCGGTGTAGAATTCCCTAACCTTGGTTTTAGTTTCACTATCGTCTCACGAGACGGAAGAATGCAGACGACGATATATTTATTTATATCCTTCATATACATACATATATATATATATATGTATATGAAAACAGAAAAACATATATATATATATATATATATACATATACATATATATATATATATATTGGGAGTGAGATTCCAACCCGGCGCTTAATCAACAATGAAAACAAAGGAGTAATAAAAATAAAAACTAGCATTGTAAATAATGACAAAGAAGAATATGATGTTATCGATGAAGATGGACCAGCCTATAAAGAAATCTGACAACTAATTTCCATCTAAGTTCTTTTTTTTATTCGGCAGAGGTAAACGTTTTTGTCTATCGAACAAAATGTGTATCTGTTAATTACCTAAAAAAACCTTAGTTTGCAATATTGTATACTGTAAAATAATTTAATTAAATTGGTGTTTAAACTCGGGCTTTCGATGAGTTCCATAATGAACAAAACGCGTCAAGCCTAGAACGAGTTATGTGTTCACAGTAATGCACTTTTGATCGTGGTGAGAGATGGTGTACTTTATGTACTCATACTGGCCGAACCGTACTTGCGGGAAATTCGGAAATTCTCACCATTCATATACATATCATCATCATTATGCACGTTTAAGTGCGCTCAAAACTGGGAGGCTCTGGGGTTGGCCTTGTCGCATGATCACGCACATTTAACCCTCTTTTCCATTCTTTTCTATTGTAGGCCATTTCTGGTTTCAGGTCCAGTGCCCTCATGTCCTTTGACAATACTTCTTTCCAGGTGAGTTTCGGTCTGCCACTTAAACCGTTAGATATAATAGTTCTAAATATCTTTACCCAGTTATCATTTGCTCTCTGTCCACATGGCCGAACCATCTCTGTTTAAATGCATATGTGCCTGTAAGGGGTAATTAGCACATTACGTACACGTCCCATTAAGCTATCGGAATACATCATCGTTATACCGCTCCCTAATCTAAAATTACAAAATCTCAATTTTCAAAAGAAAGAAATAAAATAAACGATCACGAAAATCGTTTTAGTTGACTATGCGCAGTGAAATTCTACAATAAAAAGAGATGTCATTGGCCTCGTCAAAATCATGATCGGAGATAAAAATTATTAAATTGATAATGACAAAGTTGAATCAGAATATTCTATAACATTATCTTCTGACCAGATTTGGCATTAACAAATTTATAATTCTAGTTCCGTTTTTAGATTACGAGTGCCAACGTTGTTTTGCTATAGACTATTCTTTCACTCACTAGAAAGAATTGCAAAACATAAATAAACTGTTCCGCACCTGACGCTTTCTAATTTTCATTTTATTAAAAAAAAAATGTTTGAAAAAGAAAAATAAGCCATGCAATAAGCTTATTCTGGTGAAAACAATTACAAGCGCAAATTATAAATTACATTTAAAAAATGACGTTAAAAGGTAATAAACTTTATGTTGTCAAATAAAGAACAAGAAAAAACTGAGAAATAAAATTAAATATAGATAAAAACAAAAATAAAATGTTGAAACAATAAAAAAAAGAAATGAAATACTTATTGCTAGATAAAACTTTTAATAAACTTATTGCTTGATAATTTTTAATGACAAATAGAAATAAATATTAAATAGAAATAAAAACGTACTGGTAAATCTGCATAGAAATAATGCTTTCTATCAAAGTAAGAAACTTCATTAATCGAACAGTTCAAAGCATGGCTAGCTTTTATTGCAGCAACGATACATTGTTTGTTTAGAACCTAAACAAAATTAAATATAAGTAAATGGAAATTTAAAATAAATTTTATACATTACTGGCAAGCATCCAGGCAAAGATGCATCTAAAAATGAAACAGCACTGTTTATTGGAATCCCAAACGAGGTTTTTGATGAAGAAAATAATTTACTTTTAGCTTGTATTTGAGCATGAATTTCTAAACCAATTACTGCTTCCCAATTTAGATTCTCATCTATTCTTAATTTTGAAAAAAAAATTAAATAGAAAATCAATAAAATCTCATACAAATTATTAATAAATAAAACATTTTCTCAATATTTTAATATGAAAAAACCCAGCATGAGTAATTATATGTAGGGATGCACCGGATTTAGGTTTTTCAAATCCGGCCGTATTGCAAATTCAAAAACCGGCCGGGAGCGGATTTTAGTTACCATTTTACATATGTTAAAAAAAAATACTCACATCTACATGTTGAACATCAAAAAATAACACCAAGCAAATAGTAATTAATTCAAATATACGAATAAGCTGTGTGATACACCAAATACGTTCTAGTTACATTTATATATGTATAAGCACACATTATTTCATTTATATGAAACACGAAATTCATGTGCACCGGCTACAATTAAACACATGATAACATCATTATAATATGCTCAGAACTAATAAACATGAAATTCACACGTGAACTTTCCTAGCGCGCACGCTGTTTGACCATGTTATGCAGATAAAAGTACTGTCAATAATTTATGCATAAAACTTATGGCACAAAGAAATGTGCATACCAATAAAAGATGATATTGTTATGTGTCATGTTTTGATGCGTGCGCGTACATCTTCCATACTTATTAATAGCTGAGTTTCTAATACACAATAAGTTAATAATAGAAAAATGTCAAGCTCACTTCACAGTTAGTTATGCAGATAAAAGTACAGTCAATAAAAAAAGTGCATAAAACTTATGGCACAAAGAAATGTGCATACCAATAAAAGATGATATTGTTGTGTCATATTTTGATGCGTGCGCGTACATCTTCCATACTTATTAATAGCTGAGTTTCTAATACACAATAAGTTAATGATAGAAAAATGTCAAGCTCACTTCACTCACAGTTAGTAATGTTGTTATAATGTGTCATGTATGCCTAGCCCAACGTTTAACATACAATGATCTTGGATCAATGATCTTGAATTATGTGCTTATGTAGCTCTATGTATGTATATATATATGTATGTGATATTTAGGAACGAGGTTTTCATTAATACATATTTTGTTAAATTTATTTGCCCATTTTGCATTTATCAACTTTTTTATTATGGACTCAACACAGCGTAGTTTTTGACATTCATATTTATTGTGAAATT